CCCTGCCTTGTCATAGGTCAGATCAGGATCCAGGCGACAACTTATGGGTGAAGACCAGCAGCAGTCAGACCAACATTTGTGCTGTTTCAGTGGGTATCTGCTGAAGACCTCTGGACCAGGATGAGGCCTGTAGATGAAGCCGCCTCCAAACAAATGGAAGAAGTCTCACATTCACAGGTTTTTGTCCTGATATGGAGGACTTTAATCACTCTGGTATCTTCTGGAAGGAGAACACAAATCCAGACTTATGCATTGATGACAACTTCCTGACAAAGGTGATCAAGGAGCCAATATGCTTAGAAGAATTCCATGGGATGCAAAGCGAAGAAGGTTGCAGGAGAGCTGACTGATATGCAAGAGCCATTTCCTAAAGCTCAACAGAAGTCAATCCTGACAAATAGGAAATCAAAAGCAGGAGGCCTAAATTGATGAGCAAGGAGTTTCTGGTTGAGCTCAGACACAGAAAGGAAGTAACAAGAGCTGGAAGTAGAATGACCCATAAGGACTTTAAAGATGCTGTCCAACTGTGCATGATGGGGATAGGAAAGCCAAGACTTACGTGAAGTGGAATCTGGCAAAGGACATGAATGACAGTAAGAAAGGAAACAGACAGAAAACATGATCCTGCTGCTTAACAGGGCATGTGATCTGGCAGCAAAGGGCACAGAAAAGGCTGAGGTACTGATCGCCTTCAGTCTAATCTGCTAAGACTGACTTTCAGGATTCCCAGATCGTCAAGATCCAGGGAACTACAGGCTGGTCATCCTCACCTCAGTCCCTGGGATGGTGATCAAGCATGGAAAGCACTTCCAAACACACAAAGGACAATAAGGTGATCAGAAGTAGCGAGCATTGATTTATGAAGGGGAAATAACATGTAATCAACTTGATTGCCTTCTACAATGAGGTGACTAGCTTTGTGGATGAGGGGAGAGCAGTGCATGTTGTTTACCTCCACCTTAGTAAGTTTTTTGACACGACTTCCTGTAACGTTCTCAGATAGGGTGACAAAGTATGGGTTAGATAAATGGACAGTAAACTGTCCACTGACTGATGGCACAAAGACCCATTGAAGGTAAATCACTAGTGGTGTACCCCAGAGGTTGATAATGAGGCCAATACTACTTAACTTGTCCATTAATTACCTGGACATATTATCCAGGGAAGTACTATGCCCTCAGCAAATGTGCAGAAGACATAAAACTAGGAGAAGGGGCTGATTTATCAGATGGATGTGCTGCCATTCAGAGGTATTTCAACAGGCTGGAGAAATAGGTCAACAGGAACCTCATAAAGTTAGACAGAGAGAAATGCAAAGTCTGGCATCTGGAGAGAAATAACCCCAGCACCACTACATACTGGGGACCAGCCAGCTGGAAAGCGTAGAATCTGCAGAGAACGACCTTAGGATCCTATTGGACAGCAAGATGATCATGAGGTAGCAATGCTTCCTCACAGCAAAGAAGGCCAACAGCATCCTGGGCTGCAAAAGGAAGAATGTTGTCATCAGGTTGAGGGAGATGATCCTTCCAGTCTTATTCAACTTATTTATCAACAACCTGGACAAAGGGATAGAATACACCCTAAGCAAGTTTGCTGATGATACTGGGGGGAGTGGCTGATACACCTGAAGGCTGTGCTGCCGTTCAGCAGGACCTTGGTAGACTGGAGAGTTGAGCAGAAAGGAACCTAATGAGGTTCAGTAAAGTTAAGCGTAGGGTCCTGCACCTGGGCAAGAATAACTCCAAGTACCAGTACAGGTTGGGGGCTGACCTACTAGAGAGCAGGTCTGCATAAAATGACCTGGGAGTCTTGGTGGATGACAAGCTGAGCATGAGTCAGCAGTGTGTCCTTGTGGCCAGGAGGGCCAATGGTATCCTGGGGTGCATCGGGAACAGCGTGGCCAGCAGGAGCTGATCCTCCCCCTCTACTCTGCCCTAGGAAGGCCACATCTGGAGTACTGTGTTCAATTCTGGTCTCCACAGTTCAAATAAGATAAGGAGCTACTGGAGATAGTCCAGCAGAGGGCCACAAAGATGATGAGGGGTCTGGAGCATCTCTCTTAGGAGGAGAGACCATTGGAGCTGGGCCTGTTTAGTCTAGAGAAGATTGAGAGGGGATCTCACCAACACATATAAATATCTCAAGAGGATGATGCCAGACTCTTTTCAGTGGTGCCCAGAGACAGGACAGGGAGCAATGGCCATAAACTAAACCACAAGAGGTTCTACCTCAATATGAGGAAGAACTTTACATTGAAAGCGGCAGAGCACTGGAACAGGTTGCCCAGGGAGGTCGTGGAGTCTCCCTCTCTGGAGACATTCAAAACCCACCTGGGCATGTTCCTGTGTTACCTGCTCTAGGTGACCCTGCCTTGGCAGGTGAATTGGACTAGATGATCTCTGAAGGTCCCTTCCAGACCTATCTTCTGTAATTCTGTGATTTCTTTCCACTCAGCACTAGGAGGGCCACATCTGAAGGGGCCAGTTATGGGTTTCCCAGTACAAGAGATGCAACTACTGGAGAGAATCCAGTGAACAGCCAAGGAAAGGGAAATTTTTTATACACAAAGAGGGTGAGAGAGCTAGGACTGCTCAGTCTGGAGAAGGCTCACAGGAAATGTTATTAATGTGTTTAAATACTGGATGGGAGGCATCCAGTATTTACGCATATTGAAGCAGCAGCAGTCAGACTTCTCAGTGGGCCAAGGACCACTTACAGGACAAGAGGAAATAGGCACAAATTAAAAACAGAATATTCCCTCTGAGCTCAAGAAAATATGTTTTTACTGTGAGAGCAGTGAAACACTGGCACAGGTTGGCCAGAGCCGTTGGGGAATCCCTACCCATAGAGACACCCAAAACTGGACAGGATCCTGGGCAACACTCTCTCTGACCCTGCTTGAGCAGGAGGGTTTAACTAAACAACCTCAGGAGATCCTCATCAACCTCATTGACTCTGCAATTCTTTCTTCCTTCTTTCTTCTTATCCCTTGAAATTCAGTTCTCTGATAAGAACTCTGACTTAGTAAATTTTTTCCTGCTGAAGGCCTTGCTTATATTCAACAGCTCACATTCCTACAGAAATCACTTGGGTCCTCCTTCTAATCAAATTATTAAATGCTCTCAGACGATGTATTTGAAATGGCCTTAGCTCATTAAGTCCTGCTACAATTTAATTTAAGAGCATGCCATGAATATTAAAATCAAGAAACACACTGCTCTGAGCTGGGCTCTTGTTCTTTTTTTGAAAAATCTCTCAAAGACAGTTTTACCTCAATTACATCCACATGCTTGTTTTAGGAACTCTCATTGATACTTTTGATACTTGAGATACCCTGAGATTAGCTCAGTTTACCAGAGCATGGTGCTAATAACAACAAGGTTGTGGGTTTGATCGCAGTATGGGCCATTTGCTTAAGAATTGGACTCACTGATCCTTGTGGGTCTCTTTCAACTCAGAATATTCTGTGAAGGTCTGTGAAGGTTCTATGTCTGAACGAATGCGGTAACATGGAACTCTTGCACTAAATATTATGCACTAAATGCCAAAGCTATAGGCAATTTTATATATATCTATGTATCTGCCAGCCCCTGCACCGCGTGCGGCGGAGGTCCGGGGACCCCGGCCCCCAGGCGTGACCACGGTTGGCCCCCGCCCTAGCCCCGGTGGGTGAAAGGAGAGAAAGAGGGGGAGCCTGGCCATGATGATGATGATGATGATGTATCTCCATAAACATAGACAGATAAAATCACATACAGTAATATTGCTTATTGACAGTTCAGTAGTTAGTCAAAGATATTATTTGATCTTTTAATTTTTTTCAGAATATTGTTCATTTTGCATCGCTCAGGCCTGCTTTTGCCTAAAGACATTAGGATCACAGAGAACTGAGCAAAATATAAGTCTCATCTCTCGAATTAATCAGTTAATTAGCAGATTAAATCAAGATTACATAAAAAATGGCACTATCTTCCAGTACTTTTTCAGTATTTATCTAAGATTGGGGTGGGGAATGTCCCAGTCTTACAGACATTTAGGGCTATTTAAGGACATTAGGCATTTTAAGCCTCCTCAACTGTTTTAATTACATAATAGATAGACAAACTAAATAGTTTCCCACTTTTATTCTAATCTTATATATCTGCTATCTGACCCATCATGGCAGAACCTCAGAAGGTTTTTCTTCAGAGAGAGAGAGAAAGAGAAACCACAGACTCAAAATGATCCACAGAAAATACAACAGGTATTCTTGGAAGGGACCAAAGGAGGGAAGAAAGGAGGGAGCTGCTGTAATACATTTCCTTAGTTCAAATAGCAATAATGTGTGTAAGAAGTAAAATCCTAATCTTTTCTCGTAACAGTAAAATTTAAAAATACATGAATCCATAGTTATAAAGAGATACATTTGATCAAGCCTTAATCCAGAATTCAACTGGGATTTTTGCAAAGTTACACATAGATTGGTACTCTGATTCCTTCATTGCAGTCTAAGTACCTAATCCTCCTCCAGTGAAATAAACAGGAGGCACTCCAAAGTAATCACTAGAAGTTGAATGACATCCATACAGAACAATATTAAAAACCAAGGAGTCTACTCTGCTGTAGATTGTTTGTTTTTAATTACACAAAATTTATGTGGAAAAAACTTAAGCTAAGCCTTAAATAGCAAATTTTCTGTCAAAACAGTCACAGATGCAAACAATATAAAATCCACCCAGAAAAAAATACGGATGCAACCCTTTTTTTAAACACAGATATCACAAAATACCTTTTTTCCTATATAGCTTTTAATAATGCTGTGTTCTAAATGTATCCTGAAGTCACTTCTCAGACCACTTCCAAAAAATATTCCTCCTGCTTGAATTTTTATTTTCATGCTTGATCCTGCCTATTTAAATATTCATGGAAAGAAATAACAGTTCTACCTGCAGAGTCAGAAAACAAGTCTGAAAATCTCTCCTCACTGTATTTTATTAACAGTATTTTAAAACACTCACCAGTTTGCCACCAGTGGTCCAAGACAGGTACCTTGAAAACTTCTTTTGACCATTTTAGCGTGTCCACATCACAGTGCTCGCCAGCTACAAATAACGTTCTGAACCTTTAAATAAAAGTAAATAAAGTATATATCTTGATCTGGATGTGCAAAGAAAAACAAGATAACAGATAAAATAAATGCCTCTGGTCACCGTTCCAGATAAAGGGAAAAGATGAAGGGGGGCTCTTAGTCTTGGTATGCTCCTTCCTTCTAAGTAACGATTAGAATATTTGCAGTATTAATTTATGCTACTTAATACTTCATCATGTAAAAGAAGCTTTATGTTCTGAATGCAAAGACACTGGGAGACCAGAAGCAAACAACTGTCAGTCAAAATAAAATATAATCAAATGTACGTAGGAACTAGGTAGATATCCATTAGGCAACATACAGGAATGAAATATCAAAAAAGAGTCAGAAAGATTTATCAAAAAAAGCAGTAAAGAAATACACAGAACTAAAAGGAAATACCTGTAGCATAACTCTTAGTTTTACATTGTTAATAATGTTCCATTTCAACATATTTTAGTATTTTTTGAACTGTTGAGTCATCTTTTTATAGGCATTTGGAAATGAGTTGTGGGGGAAACAACAGGATAAAGCCATTTTCTTGTGGTGAAGCAGGCTATATATACATAAATAAAAAAAACTAAACTAATCCTACTAGTTAATGATAATCAGAGAAGCACTCAGCACCAGACTTCAACTCATTTGACTGAACCTTCCACAGTCGACTCTGGCAAAGAAGAGACGCAATGCCTGGCAGTCCTGACAGATGGGTTCTGCATGTTTGCACCACCAGAATTGTCTTCCAGACAATTCACCATCCACCAGAGATGGTGGATGCCCTGCACCTGTCAGTGTTTAAGAGGCATTTCGACAACGTCCTTAGTAAAATGTCTCAGCTTCTGGTCAGCCTTTAGGTGGTCAGGCAGCTGGAGCAGATTAGCGCTACAGGTCCCTTCAAACTGAACTACTCTGTTCTATAGTCATGGATACTCATGGTGCTGGCCAGACACCACCACCCAATAAGAAGATACTAAAGGTAAGAATCATTTATGATCTTGTCCTTACAATGCTGAGAAAGAAATAAGCAATCCTCTTCACATAAAACACAGAACTTTTAATTCGTGTTCATGATGTAGAGATGAAATGCCCAGCCAAGTATAATCAGATAAACTGCTGATTTATATTCAATACTTTCTCATTAGTACATTCCTAGTTTTGTTGTCTGTATTGTTGACAGCAAGATTTCCACAGGGAGCATGTTATTTGTCTAATTGGCTCTTACTATCCAAAAAATATGTCAATGCTGAACTAGTTTTCTGGGCATTCTCTATAGTTCACAAAGAATAAGAGGCAACTTTAGAGAGTAATTTATCTTTAAGAGACTCAAAAGGGTAAGGTTTACTTTTTACCTAACAAAAACCAATGAAAACCAAAATGAAACAAAATCCATGGCCCTTGAGCAACACTGAAACATGACTAAGACACAGGATAGAGAGACTTGGTTAAGCTACTGTTTAAAACAATAGCAATAGATATAGCTATTAAATTATTGCATTATTACTTCAGATGAATTTTTCTGCATCTCAGAAAAAGGATATTAGGAATGTCTTAAAGTTTTGGATATTGCTATTTTGCTGCACACTTCAATGTGTTCCTATTTAAGCAAGATTTTGAAACAGAAATCATCTATTTGGGAAGTAATATCTAAACCAGAGGGAAATCAAAGACATAACTTCTCTTTTCATTTTACAGATAAATCACAACAGACTGCACCTCCTTCCCTGGAAGACTGGCATGGCAATCTGAAACACTTTAACCACATTAACACCTGTTTGTAACCACCAACTGCAATCCTGCCACGAGGTATAATGTGAATCCTGACTGCAGAACTGCCTTGCACACACCCAACTGTGACAGGCCAAAGAACTTGCTTCCTTTCTGTAGTATCCACACAGGGTGGGGGTTCGTGCCTTCCCTCTCCCAAATTCTCCCTATATGGCATATGACCCAAAAAGACAAGAGGCAAACATAGATTCAGACTCCACATCAGAAGAACTCTGTTTACTAGCAAGGGACCTCTTTCTTCAAGCGTACAGGTATACACACTCTACAAGCAACTAAACGTTTCACAAACACAGGAGAAACTGTAGAGACACTCTACCAAGTACTGCATCAATTCCCCTTAGGCTTCCAAGATGACAGAATGTTTAATTATATGAACAGAGCTTCATGTGACCCAATATCAGAGCCTGGCATTAAAAATACTTCTCCAAAACGTTCCCTTGTTAGGATTGCAGCACCCTCTCCCACTGCCAGATCAATGTCACTGACATTTTGTTTCACTTCAAGTCTTCCCTCTGTCCATTTTGAATGAAGACAACTGCTGAACAAAAGACCTGGCTCTTGTCCTTCAGAAGTGGACACAATTTGCACTGATTTTGTAAAACCTGTAGACTTGGGGCCACAAAAGCAGGGAATTCTTAGATATTGTGGGCATGAAACAAATTTCCCTTCAGATTCATGTAATTTAGAGAGAAAACAATGAGATTCATCTTTCCATGGAAATGAAATCCAGAAAGCAGAGTAGGAAATTATGAGAAAAATCAGAGCACGTAACCCAAAGGTGTCAGAAATGAGAAAGAGAAATGCACAGCTCAGCCAGTCTGACCATAGAACTGGGAGTACCTCTAAGAGCAAAATTACAGATTTCCCTATAGAGACCACAGACATCCCATAACAAGGCTGCCCAAACCAAAGAGCATACTTTAAATATTCACACTCCATTCTCCAACAGAGGACAGACATATGCTGATAGCATAAAATGCAGCCCTTCACAGGGTAAGGACTAGCAACCTACTCACTGTGTAGATGCAAGGCAGGAGAATGTACAGATTAAAGCAACATCTGGAAAAAGCGTAAATAAAACCTGTGATGAAACATTGTAAGTGTAACAAGCCACGTGCCCTAAAACTGTGATAGTGACGCTTGACCTAGACATGAAAAATTTGACGACTTTATTGTCTTTCAGATCCATTTACAGATCCATAATTAGAGGAAAAAAACTTCCACAAGCAAAAGATTAGAACTAATCATCAACATAGGGACCCCTGCACCATCTAGATATAAAAACCTGAGAACACTCTTACCTGTCGCAGAAACAATCGCAGCCATATTAATAACTTCAGCCATAATAACCATAATAATAACTTCAATATAGACAAGTCAACTTACTGCACATCTAGTTACAAACTTAGGAAAGTCAGAAGATCTTGAAAAATATTACCATATTGAACTTGAACATGTAGATGAAAGAATTCAACCTAATTTCAGAACAGGACCCTCCTTTCTGACATTCCAAGAGGGCTTGGAGTGGCTTCTTACTTGGAATCAAAGGCAGGAGGTCAAATGCATAAGCAGCTATCACATCAAATAAGCAAATTTTTCTGTACTCATAAATACTCAACATCATTTTGGTAAACTGCTTTCCGAGCACACTGGAAGATACTGTTTGTAATGAGTGTGACCCTAATCAATATCTTGCACCTGAATGCTTTTAATTGTAAAGCACAAGCCATTGCTGATGGTCAATAGCTATTCTAGTCAATAGCTAACTAGAATTCTAACACAAATAAAAGTTTATGGTAGAAAAAAACCAAAACATCGTTTAAGTAATAACCATAAATCTGTATTTTATGAGACTTTTTTAAGACTCATGTTCATATGGAGGGTACTTCCATCAAGCAGTGTATGTAAATTCTGCTCGATTTACTTTATATGGAAAATTCCATCCTTAGGCATGCTAAAAACAACATTCTAGCTATGATTTAAAAATTAAATTAATGAATGCATTAACTTCATAAAGCAATGAAAAATTCTGTTAAGTGTCCTTGTTTTAAAACGGGGCTATTAAAACAGCAGAAACTTGATGAAAAAGATACCTTCTTATCCCCTGAGCCAAAAGCAGAATACCTCTTTTCTGAACTACCAGCTCTAATAATCACATTTAACAATCCGCAGGTCAAGATCAACTCTGTGTTGTGAGAAGAAGAAAAATTAGCTCTTCAGCAAATTTACAGCACAAAACCATCAAAAAGAGTATCAGAGCAAAGTGCCACAAGCCTAACAAAGCACAAGAACTGTGGAATTATTTTCTCTATCAAACAGTATAGCAAAATAAGGAATGGCAATGGTTATAAAATGTCCCACTGAACAATTTTTTAATAGTCCACTTAAACCTTCAAAGCACGTCAGTGCACCTCTTACTGCAATCATCTACCACTGCAATGCAGTTAATTGAGAAGAAAGGTCTTTAAACCTCTCTGTTAAATATGTCCTCAGCTGTTCTGAAAATCTACATTTCTAACATGAAATTCAGCACACTCAGGCTTTTAAAACCCCGTCCAAGAGTGCAGCAGAGGACAGATCAATGTCCCTAACGATCCTGGTGCAATCTAAATTGTTCAATATAGCATGTATATTTTGGGGTCAGTCTAAGCACAAAAGAAACCACACCTCCAAACCATTTCCCAAAAACAGGAATATTCACATGAGTAATAATCTGAGCTTCACTTTTCCTAATCAAAAGATCATGGAAGTTTGGGGTTTTTCTAATTCTGGATTGCACATACTAGGTTAAGGTATGTTTTCTGGCAAAAAAAACCTCTATCTGCATCATATTAAACAAGATTTTTTCCCTAAAAAGACAACAACGAAGGTTCATTTGCACTTCTTAACACAGATTGGAAATAAAGAACTCTTACTAAATTTTAATGCACCTGGAGTCTACAGACATATATATATATTTAAGCACGTAAAATATAAAACCAGTATTTTTCGATCCTTCTGATTTTTCTCGATTGATGGGTTTGTTCATTTCCCTCCCTGAACAGATTTTACCTTGGCCACGAGTATCCAAGCACTGGAGGTTTGGGTGACAGAGTCAAGAGGGACAAGAGCACAACTGCAGCTTAGTTCCTTCTCACAGTGTGGGTGAGGGAAAGCCCCACAAAGGCTCTTCATGAGCACAGCTCAGGACTCCAACAGGAACAGCCACACATGATCTACAGCAGCACAGAGCAGGGAGCAGCAGGTAGAACTGCATAATGCACTTCAATTGTCCCAAATTCTGTGCCTTAATCACATATCCTCTAGCAGCATGTGTGAAACATCAATTCTATGACAAAATATTTCCTTCTTACAGTTTTGAATGTTCTACTTTAATTTCGCATCCTCTTGTTTGTGTGTTATGAGACAGGTAATGGGAATTTTTTATCTCCTTTATATTCATTATTTCTGCACAGTTTTCATGCTGTCTCATATTTCTTTCAAAAGCAAGTGCATTAATATCTAGTATCAGATGAACAAGCTAGAATCTCTAAATTCTCATGATATAAAATGGCAGACCATTTCTCAACAGATGAAAAGTAAAGAAAGCAAAGTAGACTATGGGACACAAATGGCAAATTGTAACTTCTACGTTAATCTAATCTGCTGATTTGTTGCCCCCATTCCATACAAAACCATCAGTTGCCAATCACTTGGAAATCAGAGTGAACCAGCTCATAACTATTACATAAATTACAGGACAAAGTGTGATTCTAAATACGGGAAGAGTTAATGGCTTGGTGTTATGAAGCTACCCCAAAAGACAAGAATGGATTCAAAGAGCTGAACAGAACATGCTCAGGTAGATGAGGCTCATGGAATTTGGATGTTACTTGTTTTTCAAACACAACAGGAAGCAGCCTGCTCAGCAGCACTGGATGTTATCAAAAGCTGTGTCTTTAGATCCCCTACAAATATGTGGTTGAACAGGGCCTTTGTCCTACACTATTATAAATTAAACATCTCTTTTACTGCTAAGCATGAGCCGTGTTTAAGACACATTTTGTGTCAAAAGCAAAAAAATTTCAAGATTTGATTGCAATAACCATAAGAAATTTAAAGCATACACACTAGAACCTTTAGAAACCTTACCTGTAGTTTTGTGCAGAGGCCAGTGATGCCAGAAACATTAGTTCTTAACAGAAATTTTTTTAACTTATGTCATTTCAAAAGAACACAAGTCTGTTTATAACTCAATTTACTCCTGTAAATCAAGTACTCCCTCGTATACTGGAAGCTGGCATTGCCTACCAACTCTTTTCCTTAACAGTAACAAACTCTCTTTTTTAACACTTTTTTTTTTTTTTTTAAGTGATACTGACCTTTATTATTTTTTTTAACACAATTTCTCAGGAATGAAATGTACCATGGTGGAAATCTCTTTCTGGACTGCATTCTTGGATGTGGAGGCTCTAAAGTAAGGATTCACTTTAGCCCAGGTAGCAGAAAGATACCTCATTTCTAAGATTCTTCACCAGAAAGAAGAAAGCATTATAGATCAAGTAAATGAACTAAAAGTAAGACTGATTTCAAAGTGATTTAGACAGAATTCCTTTGACTTTGAATAGAGAAGTCCATCCAAGTAACACCCAAACACTAGTATTTTCCTCGAATGGAAATTTTAATCATCTGCTGGGCTTTCTTAACAACTGCACCTACTAGATATTAAATGTTGCGTTAGAAGGTTTCATAAAGAGATGCCACGTCCCACTGAACAACATGGTCCAAAGATGAGTGAATTATGAGACAACTAAATTTGCAGACAAATGGAGAAGCTCATTTCATATGCATTGAATAGGAATGATGAAATACCTCTTTATATCTGTGGCAACTGATTTCGTCAAGGAGACTTATCTGGAATTCTCATTTGGTCAGAAAACACGACGACTTACAAAGAAGGCTAGCAGATTTCCCATTAAATGAATACTCTAAAGACAGACTAAGTTATTTAAGTAATTGCCTAAAAAATGCCAAAGAACAGCAATTAAATGTTCTAGCATCTCAATCACTTTCTTGTTAATAAACATAAACATCATAGAAGAATAGTGCAGTAGTGTCTCAAATCAACTTGTTTCATATATCAAAGAGGGGTAAGGATTGATGATAGCACTCAAAACAGATGTAAGAAAGTAAGATGAACTTGTAATGAATACTTCAGGAATAAAATCAGCTTACTAATGATGTCTCAGAGATTTTTTTTGATTTTTAACTTTTATAGATTTTAGAAGTAGATGTGTAGTGAATGTAGATTTTAATGTAGTTGTATTATATTCCTTACCCTGCAGCATAATGTTTACACATACCCAACCCTACTATCCCATTTCATATCAATCCCTCTAAAATTCCGTTAGCGTGTTTAGTCTTCTTTTCAAGGCAGAATTGTAGAAAGACACCTTAAGGCCTGGACCAGAAGATATCACACAGACACAGCAACCTTCAAGCCCAGAACTTTGGAGGAACTCCAAGGACTGTACGTGCTGTGAAGAAGATGAAGATGAGGAAGAAGGGGTCCCAAATGCCTCCAGACCCAATTCCTGAAGGGGCGTGTCAGGGGTCAGAACAAGGCAGAAGCGGGGGTGGATAGACCTGGGATTGGATGGACCTTATTATAAAATCACAGAATCACTGTCTGAGCACGCTCACGTGGTATGTATTCCTCTATGCCTACGGACTCATTAAAGGACCTGCTCTCTTTATCTTATCTTATACACTAAATTGGCCTGAGTCTTTTTCTCTGCAGTCTTTTAGGCAATACTAATCATAAACTTTCCTGAGCAATTAAGAATGTGAAGGTCTAATGAAACTACATGGCTTTGTATCTTCCCCTTCTCTTTGGACAGGGGTAATAATAGATGTTCTTGTGACTAAATACTGCCTATACAGTCTGACACAGTCTATTTGATGCTGAGCAATTTATTGAACTTCAAGATTAGATATGGCCCAAATCCACATATTTTCCATTTTTAGAATGTTTACCATAAGATACAGAAACTTGGTCTGTAGAAGTACTAAACACACCCAGATCCAAGTCACTGTGACAAGCATTTTATTAACATAATGCTAATAACACATTTTAACCATATGATGCTAAGAACTCTGAAACATGAGTAGATTCAGTGGCTCAGACTGAATATTCAAAACTAACAGAAGACTTTGACCTTAATCTCTCTGTGCCTCAGCTTCCCATGTGCAAAATACAGATAATACCACTCTCTCATCTCACAGGGGATTTGTGAGGATGAATTCAGTCATGATTTTGAAGCATGCTGATAGTATACTGATAAACACCTTAAAACCAGTACAAGATAGCAAATGGCTCAGTCTTTGGAGCACATAATCATAAAAAATAACAAAGTTATGGGGAGGACAACCAAAACATTGATTAGTTCTGATTAAACAAATACTAAAGATCCTGTGCACTCAATAAAATGAGAAGTTATGTGGAAAAACAGTACCGGATCACGTAATCCAATACTGTATTACAGGGTATAAACACAGTGGAGTAAAATTTAGGATGGATGAGAAATCCTAACTCAGTAAAAGCTCTTTATGTTAGAGTCATAGATTTTTTAACAGCTTTCATCTCCTCTGACTATCAATATAAATTTATAAGCAAATAAATGCAAACCTAAATTTTCAAGAATATATTAAAATGCTGCTCTACAGAGGTGGGCAGATACTCCATTATTCTTAGTTCATCCAGCTTATTTCTGGAAGAAACTGCTTCCAGTGTATCCTTAGTTCACCTTTTCAGAGAGTACTGCTTTCCCAAGGTTGCCTCAGGGTCCTGCTGACGGATTGCTCTAATTGCAGTTGGTGAAGTAAAGAAGGCAGCTACTTCATGCTCTGCTAGCACACGGAAATAGGCACCAGCATCTGGCGTTCCCACAGGCTTCCCCTACGGAGAGAATAATTTAAAATGTCACAGAATAAAAATACATCATAATTCCTTGACAGTTCAAGGCTCGAACACGTAACAGTAGTGGCAGCACAGCAACAGAAGTAATATCAAGTAAGACTTTGAAGAAGGTTTTGTTAAAAATAATAACACTGTGAGTGTATTCACTTGTAGAATTAAATTCGCAAGGTTTGGGCACAATCTCTTACATGAACACAACACAGCATATACCAGTTGCTTAGAAAATTAGGACAAATGGACATGCAAATTAAAAGACAGACACAAAGAACTGTTACTGCACTGGCAGCAGAGGGAACCATCTCCATATATCCTGACTGAGAAGCAGTCTGGAAAACACCCACCCTTTGAACAAGGAGCCTCTGGACACATTGGTACTGCAGCTATATTCCCATGCACAGGCAGCTTTTTTTTAAATTTCTCTCAAATTTGGAAAAATTCCCATTTAGCTGCTTACAACTGGCTTCTTGGAACCTTTGTGCTGCTAGCCCACGTGAAGCCTGGAGAGATGCTGAAGAGCCCTTTTCTGTTTTAGTGTGCTACTAAACTGTGGTCTGGTTTGGGGTTATTTGTTTTTTTTTTAACTAAATATTGTCTTGAGCTAAAGGGCATAGTCAAGAGAACTGTAAAATGAAGTAATAATTTATGAAAATTGTTCCATGGTAAGTAATCCTAATAAAAAAATAATCAAGAACACTTTTCTGTGGTGCTGAAAATATGAAAAGCAGTCAGCACAGAATTATATAGTCACAGTCTTACTGTATGTAGTTAGTGCAGTGCATGAACTGCTCCATACATACTCTGAAATTATTAAAAGATGATGTTAATGTAGAATGAGTTTTAGCTCTACAGGTATCACCATAACCTTTTCACTAGAAAGACCACACTTAGAAGATGGACTCTGACAGAACAGGCAAGTCAAGAGAGACTGTTCTAGTTAGAACAGCTGGGACCAACTCATCACTGTGTGGATGTAACCCAAAACTGTGTATTCTATACCCTTCCATGCCATTTCCCAGAAACTGTTATCAATAGACCATTTACACCATCTGCCCAGAGCAGGCCTGACCCCTCAGGCTATAAACTGGGTGTTAAGAGGCCTGTGAGACAGGAGGATGCTCCTGTCCTCATACCCATATGGAACTCCCCACCCTGAGGGAGGTACTGGGCATTCCTGCCTGAACCTGAGGATATGTAATCTTGGGATCTTGGGACTTCTGCTACTTTTCGTGGGATCCAGAGAAGGACTGGAACTTGGACTGGACTGTGACCACCACTCTCAACCAGACTGCAAGAGCACTCCCAACCAGACTGCGATCACCACCCTCGACCAGACTGCAACAGCACTCTCACCAACAGGGTTTACCTCTCCTTTTACTTTTGGACTCAGGGGGACCACGTGGGGCTCAGCATGCGGAGGGTGGCCCAACGAACACCACTCTGTTCATGCCCCAGGGTGCTGGGTTATACATCTGGGTTTTGTGGGTTAAAACCAATTGTCTGTCTATGTAATTGTATTTATTGTATTGTTTTTATTAAATTGTTATTCTGACTTACAATCTCTTTTGACTTGGGTTCATCTCCCCTGCTGGTTTACCTTTAAACCAGCACAGACACATACACTTTTCATACTGCAAACACAGTTTTGTCAATGTTTTATGTAAGAAGCCACAAACACAGAGGAAGTTTCGCTACTGAAATGTCATCATCCTTTCAGCAGTTCACCAGTGACAAGACAAATTCATGCCTTCACCATCCTTGTGGAAATGCAAATTTGGAATAGATAGATTAATTGGTCCAGTGGAAAAAAACAGCATATAAAACTCTAATTAATATTTTTGATTTTACCAAGATGCAAAAGGAAGAGAGGCATTTTAATATCTTCAAAGAATTTACAAAATTCAGTGATGACATAGCACAGTAAATGTCTTTATGAAAACACACACTAATCAAGTTAGTTGCCCCATTCCAATAGGCAGCATGCTGACTGTGATGCAGGCTCACAGGAATTCATTCTTTTCCCTCTCTTCCATCTGCACTCCCCACTGCTGTCTTCCCCAGGCTTGCTCTGCATGCCAGTGCCTGGCAAGAGCCCCAATGAACCATTAATCAGATTCAAAGAACATAGGATGGCCTAGGTTAGATACCCAGGTTTTGCAGCTTTATGGTGAGATACTGCTGCTGGTGAGAGGTGTGTTCTGAAAGATGCTCACCATAAAAGATTTAAAAAACCAAGACAAAATAGAATGCACAATTGAAAAGTTGGTGGTTTGTGGTTTTTTAAAGGATGGAGCAAGCAGTGAGAAAATAAAGAAATGGAGAGAATGGAGAAAAAAATAAACAAAAAACCCCAGTTCTCAGCCCAAGTAGCAGAGAGTAGTATAACCAATGCCAATTTTTGCAAATAGCCTATCCTAAATTACCAAACAGAAATGCAACATAATGCCATTTGCTCGCTGAAAAAGTGAGTTATGACCTTTATGCTGCCAGATAACACATAGTTCCCAAAGAAAAATCTTTTCCAAATACAACATAATTCCTTGACAGTTCAAGGCTTGAACACGTAACAGTAGTGGCATCACCCTAGCAAACTTCTTCATCACAACTTTTGTTTGTTCGTCAGTATTTGTACATGAACCTATTCATTCAAGTTGACATCCTCTCCCTGTAATGTTCACTATACCTGCAGATCTGTAGCCACCTGCTTAGGAGCTCAAGCCTTAATCAGTAATAACTAAACAGTAATAACTAAAACAAATGGTCTCAGACTCTGAAAAATTCCAAATTTCCACAAACTTCTCACTAACTAATTATGTAATTACAGTAGTATCAATCATCTTGGACATCAAAAAACCTAGCTGTGGAGCAATCTGAAATTGGTTAGTCTAAACAAATGGAAATATCCAGAGTCCATAAAAGGGCTGTGTCTGACCCCGAGCACACCCACTCCCTCCCAGGTCTCACTTCACACCTGATCCCTCTCCAAGCTACGTCACAGACATGCCTATGCCTCATACTTCCAGCAAGCCTGAGCCAAAGAGCATCTTCCACACAAGCAGCTAAACCTTCAGTAGTGCATGGATAGGCATGCAGGACTCTGACAGGTTGATATTTATCTCATAGGTAAGCTACAGCAATACCACTGGCACTGTTCTCAGACAGTGTTGAGATGTGACCTGTCTGGTTGCTTGCCTGTGGTACAGGCTTCCTATGCTGCTATAGAAATAGCTTTCTCTTTTCCTTTGGGCTTGCTGAAATTCTAGAATATAAGAAATAAGCTCTAAAGTTATTAAGTGCAATAATCTGAAACAGAATTGTAGAATCATAGAATGATTTTGCTTGAAAGGGCCCTTAAAGATCACCCAGTTCCAACCCCCTTGCCATGGGTAGGGACACCTTCCACTACACCAGGTTGCTCAAAGACCCATCCAGCCTGTCCTTGAACGCTTCCAGGGATGGGGCACCCCCAACTTCTTTGGCAATCTGTGCTGGCGCTTCACCACCCTCACAATAAATTATTTCTTCCTAATATCTAATCTAAATCTATCCTCTTTCATTTAAAGCTATGCCCTCTTGTTCTGTCATTGATATATGGAATCAGGGGTAGATCCTTACAGAAGAAAAAAAAGGGATTAATGCTTGTCCAGACTGAGACCCATCATTACGTTCCCCACAATCTGTGGGTTGTCTGACCAACCCAGAGGGTCTGCCTATGTTACAGAAAACTGAAGCTGTGTGAAATCTGCATGGTGTTCTTCCCCTAATAAGCCATTAATGCTCCTGGTATTGTCTGGTATGTGCTGAATAATTTGGCTTACAATTAAAATAATTCTGTAGACTTCTTTGCTTTGCTACTTTAAATATTCCAGCTGAAGCAACTGAAATTTTAGATGCCTTGTATCATGTTGATTTCTTAGCCTGAATGATCAAATACACAGCTGAATGAAACAGAACAGCTCTCAGCAAGAGTACAAGTAAGGCTCTGGTTTACCTCTGGGTCATTAGCAAGATGCCTTATTCCCTCTACCACTGCCCTACTTCATTGCAACATTGTGAAGGTTGTTTTCATCAGACCTTATGAAATTATGGATTTGGTCTGATTGTTCAGTCTGGCAGCCAGTCTAGACAAGTTAGACATGACCAATTACCTTATGAGAGGAAACGGAAGACGAATCCTGGTATTGTATTTCCTAATCCTCTCACTGTCTCCCAGTCCTGCCTCTCCCACATTCCTTCTAGTTGCTCAGCTGCAATGGTAGGTTGGACAGTGTTCAGCACTGCTCCTGCCTCTTCAGACACAGCAGCTCTTCTACAGCCTCCTACTGAGTTATCAGCCTTGAATGGCATCAGGCGTATTTTCCCTTTCCTTCTTGGAGCCCAAACACCCTAACAGCCACCATCCTTGCATTGCCTCTCCAGATAAATGTGACAAGGCAGGAGGGTGCTGAGGATAGACCCATTGATGTGAATTTGACAGGCAGTTGAAAATGTCTCCTCTAGGAACTGAAACCTTGAAGGATCCTGAGTCCTACAGTACAATTCAAAGCAAATCCATTCTTTTAGTATTGTTTTTTCACCCTTTTTTTTTTTTTAAATATCTGAGTTATAAGAACAGATAATGAATGTCTGGTAATTAGCACATCTGTTCTAGAACAAGCAGCAATCACAAGTATTGAGGCCATGTTACTGAGAACACAGCTGCGCTGGACAGGACACGTCTCAAGGATGAAGGACCACCGCCTACCTAAGATCTTGCTTTATGGTGAACTTGCCACTGGCTGCCACATGAGAGGAGCCATAAAGAGAAGATACAAGGACTCCCTGAAACAACATCTCAGCCTTGGCCATATTGATCTTCATCACTGGTCTACTCTGGCCTCCAACCGGGAGGTCTGGAGACACACCATCTATAACACTGCTGATGCTTTTGAGAAAGCACGCAGGATCACTCTCGAGAAGAAAGACAACGCAGAAAGAATCGT